TAAAAATTCACAAGATTGTATTTATTCTTCATCTGTTCAATATTTTTATCTGTGTATTTAATACAAATCCATGGTCTCGACTCTTGAATAAAGCACCTCTTCTTGCAGCAGTACTCAACATGTGCAGGTGTGTCTGGGAGCCCTCTTCCTCCAGTTTCAAGAGGAGAGTAAGAGTGGGAGACATACCTGAGTCCTCAAAAGAAAGGAGGAAGAGGAGGCTCCTTCCTGCATGTGCTCAGAGAGCAACTGAAAGGATGTTAATCTACCAAAGGAACTGGAGGCTTTTCATTACAGGGAGATAGAGTCAGTCCTTGGCATAAAAGGATTATAGTCAGAGCTGAAGAAACCAAACAGAGTATCAAGTCCAAGGGGCAACTATGGAAATGGTGGAACAACAAGCAAGAATAGATTCTGGAGCACAGGTAGCTGGGTAAGAAACAGGCCAGGGAAATGGTTCAGAACTAAAGCTAAGACTGGTGTGTGGTGAAGGAGCCTCAGCTAGAACTCCCTATTCCTTGAATGTTTGCTGCTTTTGCAGGGGAAAGTATGGAGGTTTTAAAGGAGTTGAGCAAAGATCAAGACAATGGATTAGCATTAAATATCACATATAAAAATATGAACATGTAAGATGCAGATGCTAAACTGCACATTTCTGCTACTATCAAGTCACCAAAAAAAGAATGCTCTTGAAAAAATAAAATTATTAAACATATATAAAGTAAAATGAAAAACAAAACAAACAAACAAAATGCTACCAGAGTGGGGAAATGGTGTAACTTGGAGCATCATTTCTCAAGGTGTGTTCTGCGGTCCCAAAAGGTGTTAACAGTTCTAGATACATAAATTTGAGCGATGCTACGTACTCTAGCCTCCTCTTGAGATACTCATAGTGTTTTAAAAGCTCTGAAAAGTCCTGCAAGAAAAATCCTGGTTGATTTTGTTTGGCCCAAAATTGTTTATATTTTAGTTAAAATGAAAACCTTTCTTTTTACATTGTACTTTGTAAATGCTTACTTAGTAAAAAGCTAAACAAATGAGTTAGATGCTTCGATTAAAAATTTCTTAATTATATAAAATCTTCTCATTATGTGTTAAAATATCATCACTTGTCAAAAGAACTCGTAATTATTTTTAAAAGATAAAATTAGACATACCTTATACCAGAATAAACTCACACCATATACCAGAGTAAACTCAAAATGGACAAGAAATCTAACTGTAAAAAATGAAGCCATGTACAGGAGGAACATGTAACTGGAAGAAAACATGGGTGAATTTCCACAGAACTTGGTTGTAGGGAAAGGCTTTATTCCTATGACCCAAAATACAAAGGCAGTTTTTTTAGATTGCTCTTACCTTTGACTACATAAAAATAGAATCTTTTGCATGGCACAAAGAAAAAACACCATAAACAAAGACAAATTATAAAGTGAGGGAAAGATTAAAAACCTGATAGAATAAAGGTCAAAAGATGTGAACAAGCATATATTTGGCACGTGCATACATATATATGTCAACATATATTTATATACATGCCCTTAAATATATGAAAATACAGTCAACTCCACACATAATGTGAACAAATTCAAATCAAGTCTACTTTAAAGTATCAGTTCTCACCTCTCAGATCAGAAAGCATTAAAATATTTGACAACATATTCCACTAAAGTTGCTCTCGGGAAACCAGCATTCTCATACATTGCTGGTGAGAATGAAAACAGGTACAATCCTTGTGAAGGGAATTTGCCAATATCTAACAAAGTCAAGTATGCATTTACCTTTTGTTCCAGGAATCCCACTTTTAGAAATTTACCTTTTCACAATGTACCTCTAAGTATACAAAAATAGACATGCCCAAGCTTATTCATTGAAGTGTTAATTGCAATCATTGCAAAACATTGAAAACATGCTCAAACATAGAAGGTGAAATAAATGATAGTACATCCATATGGTGGAGTATTATGCCATTCTAAAAAAAGAATGAGGAAGCTCTCCCTGAACAGGTGTGGAATGATTTCTAGGATATATTGTAAGCTGAGAAGATAAAAGTACAAAAGAGTACTATAAGATGCTACCTTTTGCATAAGTAAGAAAGGGAATAAAAACAGACATGTAACTATTCAGTTTTTGTAAAATGAAACACAGAAAGACAATACCAGAACTAATGAAATTTATTACCTCTAGACAGGTGGGTAGGAATAGAGAAGAAGTGATGAGGAGATGGGAACAAATTGGAAGAGATAGGAGGATGTGACTCTTACCCCAAATGTGCCCTTCTGTAGTTTTGACTTTTGGTTGTTAATGTTGTATGTAATCAACAACAACAGCAACAGTAATAAAAATCAACAAAAATGGAGAAAAAAGCCTAAAATGTAACACAAAAGGAAGCAGATGACTCTCATATTTAGAATGACTAATATACTCACATTGAAGATGGGGAAAAAAAGAACTCAAGTCAGTTTTGAATATGATATTTTGACCAAAGAAGAAAAATAACTGTAAGCAAATCAAGAACTCTAGAAAGTAGGTTTAGGGTGTTTCTTGTTTGTTTTCCTTGGCAATTCTGACACTACTTTCAGTATCTTCCATAATTCAGGAAGTAAGTATCTTGTGGATAATGGGGGCCAGTTTCCTCACTGTCAGAAGAGGGTTACAAATACAGGAAGAAGAAAGATGAGAATGAACCTGTGGTATTGGATTAGTATTAGAGGAACCAACATGAGTGCAGTTATAGATCAGGGATCATCAGATGTTTTCAGTAAAGGAGCAGAAAATAAATTACTTAACTCTGCCTTGGCAGCACATAAGCAGCCATAGACAATGAGTAAACAAATGAACATGGCTGTATTCCCACAAATTTTTATTTATGGGCACTGAATTTTGAATTTTATATAATTTTCATCTGTCATGAAACATTATTTTAATTTTTTAACCATTTAAAAATGTAAAAACCATTCTTAGTTTGCAAGCTATACACAAACAGGCAGTGGGCCAGACTTAGCCACACATGGGCCATAGTTTACTGGCCCCTGTTTAGACAGATGTTTAGACAGGTCAGTGGATACATAGATTAAGAGACAGAGAGCAAATATGATAAAATGTTAACATTGGGGAAACTGGGTGAAGGATATACAGTAGTTCTTTGTATTCTTCTTGCAAGTTTTCTATTAATCACAAAAAGAAGAACGCTGTACTTTTCATAGCTACTGCTGAAAAGGAAGAACACTGATTAAATTATTGGCCTAAGAAGCGACTGTCTTACATTTCCTAACATTCACACAACTCTCACCTATGCTTTTCCCCCCCGGGGTAGCTCCTACTGTGGTTATATAGAATTTCTGATTATTAGCTGGGGGTGTCATCGTGTGATAACATTATTTTCTCCTGTTCATCCTTGCTCTTCATCACCCTTAATGAGTAATGAGGTCACAGGGCTGGTAATTTATATATGACCTTGTAATTTTCTATAATGCAGGAATTTTTTGGTCTGCTATAATTAAGTAGACTAAATAAACAGTGCTTATCAGAAAATGCCTCATTAGCTTGGAAGTCTGACAAATCCTTTCGGATGTGTCCTTAATGTGTTATTATGAAACTCAATTACACAGCGAGCTCAACTTACTTATTTCACCAGCCGTAATCTAGTGATAGCTATGGCGAGCTGTAACTGAAAGTATCATACAACATTGTAAGTAGGAAATAAGTGATTTTGACATTACTATGCTTTTTATGCTGGAAGAGTGAATGGTTTGTAAGGAAAATCTCTGCTGTATAGACTGGTAACCATTCTACCATCTTTTACTGGTTTAATTCCAACAAAGTCCATTTCTACCCTGGTTTATTTATCACTGTAATTAAGGCCACACCATGATCTTCATTGATAATGAAGATGGCAGAGGTCAAAGCTGAAATTTATTGAGTGCTAACTCTGTACCCATATTCATACCAAATGTTTGTCTTCCATTTTTTTCTATTTAATCCTAACACTCAACTCTGAAGCACAGTTATCATCTCCTTTTCACAGATGAAGCATAGCCATGCTAAGTGACTAGGCCAAGTTCTTACTATAGGAAGCATGGAGCTGGGATTGGCCTGCAGAGCCAGTGCTCTTAGCTGTTGGTTACGACTGTCTACCATTATAGATTAAGACCATAGGAAATACAGAAATTTAGAAGGAAATTATGTAATTAGAAAGACATGCTTCTATTGAGAAGAATAAGGTAAATGATACAGGGCACTTATAGCAGTGCAAGAAATAGAATTCACATTGGAAAATCTTTTACATTCTCCTGCCTGCTCCCTACCGCTGAAGAATCTCAGCAGTAAGTTTAGAGATGAGAAGGGCTTGAAGTAGAATATGCAGTGACTCAAGCCTTCCGGATGTTGCCAGCTTGAATTATAACCCCCAGGCATCTACTAGAGGAAGCAGGAGAGTGGGAAAGAGTGCAGTAGGAAGGAAAGTAAAGAGATGGGGAAATGCCCTCACTCCCCACCTTGTTTTGCCTCCACTGCTTGAAAGCCCCGAGTTAAGGCTGAGGGACTCCCACCACTGTGGGGACCCATGGTAACTCCAAGACTGACTTCAGTTCCGATTCACCTTGTGGAATGTGATTATCCATGACATGTGGCATGTGACTTTGTCAGGCTTTCTTACCCAAAGCTCATAAGAAGTTTCGTCTCAGCTGCATTTCCTCTTGAGTTATTGAAATATTTTCTTATGTGAAAAGAACTCTGCTGTAATTTAATAGCAACAATAATGAACTTTTGAGAGGAATATTTATTTAGTTGAAGTATTTCTCAAACTGGCTAGTTAAGTGATTGACTTCATATTAACCAATTTACAAAACTGGATATTGATATCTGGACATCTGTCTTTCTGAGATATGAAGGAGGGAAAAAAATGTTTCTTTGTGGAAGCCCCAGGGAATTGAAAATTCATGGGAAAATAAAGTCGATATGTGGAATTTCAGACATGTTCGTTCACTTTGTTTTCTTTTTAGGGACTGGTTAAATATGTTGAGCCCACCAATTGTTCCTCCCAGTCAACAGCCGGCTGAGCAGCGTCCAGATTCCTCTGAAAGTTTGAGTGCTCAAGGTGGGAATATGAAAAATGCTATGCATAAGAAGATAAAAATAATTTACTATAAGTAGAGAGAATCCATCACTTTGAGATGCGACTGTTTTTATTCAGTGTTGATCACTTAGTCTTACACACCCTAAATGAGGTAACCTGAGCCTCATTTTTTAGAATAATGGGTTCTTTGCAGCTAAAGAGAAGATGAGAGAAATTGCCCTTGTTCTTCTAAAGGTTAATTCCAGGACAAAATGTAGTTTAAGGTATAAGAATATGGTTTGGATGTCAAATTGACCTTCATCTGAATTTCAGCACTACCAATTCCCACTGTGTGACCTTTATGAATTTTGATTACCACATCTATAAAATAATACGAATAATAGTTAGAGCCTCCCCATTGAAGATTCAATGAGGTGCTGTATATGAAGCCCTTAGAATAGTGCCTGCCAAATACCAGCTGTTGGCATTATTATACAGCAGATGTAATATTTTAACATTACTCAGATACCTGTTTCCATGAATGAAGAGATACAACCTTCTCATTAAAGCAGAAGCTGTCACGTAGCTACAATAGGTATTAGCAAGATAAAAATCAGAAAGAACCAGGAATTAAAATTTTCCAGGTGTTCATTTTGTTGGCGTGAGCCATAAAGATGAACCATTTGTTTCTATTTATAAGCAGGAAACTTGACTGTCAGATGTATGTGGTGGAGGAACATAAGAGAATCTCTGGTGAAAACTGAGGAGCTGAGATGGCAGAGGCATGGGGTAGTCTCAAGTGCATAATTAGAGTGACAAATAACCTCAGAGTGGGACTCTCTGAGACAGTTTTCTGGGTTGAATTTTGAAGATGGAAATGCAGTATCTGAAGCTTTAAAAAAGTGAAAGTGAAACCAATATAAATTGCTCCAACAAAAAGGCCAGTTTTTTTTCCCTAACTGCCCCAGGGAAAAAAGTAGAGCATCACATTTTTCTTCAGGTATGGAGAATTCAGAGTGAGAGCTCATACATATGAGCTGTACATCTTGGCTGCCCAAGGGATGGAGATGTCTCTGTGATTTACTATCTAAAATAGATTATGCCCCTCAAATTGGGAATCTTTTTAGAGGTGTGCATTTATAATTACTCATGACAGAAAAATAGAATTGTGGCTGTCAGGAGGAGACCTTGCTGTGAGGGAACAAATAATGTGTTATGTTAGGTGTCCTAAATAAACCACAAGAACTGAGAGCCTGGTCCTTGAGCAAAGACACCCAAGATATATATTAGCAAGAAGCAGCCGGAAGGATGTCCTAAAGTCGCCATTGCCAAGCTCAGTTCTGACAGCAGGAGCTCAATTATGTTGAAGGTAAACAGAACTTACATTGAGGGCAAATTCAGAGAGTTGTAGAAATGTGCGGGCCAGTGTTAGCCAGATCAAGCATCCCTTCTGCCTGTCACCCTAGATTTTTATCAGCTGTCCCCTGCCCTTTTCTCATATGCTTGGGTGGTGTGTAGTTGATAAGTTCACCAAAAACTAGCATTTTCTGTTTACTCATCTTCCCCTGTTCTGATATGCTTGGATGGTTTGTAGTTAATTAACACCATCAAAAAACAGTGTTTCCTACTTGGTTAATGGCATGTTAATTGCATAGTTTTAGGCAGTATAAGACAATCCCTACTTACCAGTATGCTGAGATAGTGTTTCCATCTGTTCTGCTAAAGTGTCAAAGAAAAATTATGGGCTCAAGTTTCCAGTTTATATCATCAGAAGGGGAAGGGAAGCATGGTTGTAAGCAGTCTAGAACCCTTCCTGGGTTCTTGTTGCATGCCACCATTCATTTAGCACTTACTTTATACCAGACACCAAGTCATTACATTTAACCCTCACACTACCACCAGGAGGAAATTGTGTGTGTGTGTGCGTGTGTGTGTGTGTGTGTTACAGCTGAGGTAACTGAGGCACGCAACTACTAAGTCACAAAGCTAGGATTTGAACCCAAGCAGCCTGGCCCCAGAGCCCAACCACTATATTTTTAGCCTTTGTAAGTTTTGAGCTAGATAAGTAGATTACCTACTCAAAAAAAAATGTATAAAACCAGGAATTGAAATATTATTTTTCCATTAAGAGTTTCTGATTTACAGGAAAAGCAAATTAAAATATCTCAAGGGCTCAGTGGCTAAGTTCTTTACAAAAGAAAGAGATACGTATGGTCACCTGACAGCCCTGGGCCTGCCCCCGACCCCACCTCCCACCCATGCTTGTTAGAAATAACCGGTAGCCACAGTTGACCAGATCCAGGACAAGGCCAAGGGAGTGAACAGCTGAATGAAGGGCAGGATCATTGGATACGAAACTGCCAGGCCTGGGTATTTGCTTGTAGCTTATCTTAAAGGCCTTCCCAGACAGTCTTACCTAAGTAGCCCAGTCTGCCACTCACTGTGTTCTCTCACTTCACCTTCTAACATATTCTGCATTCCTTTTCAGAGTTTGTAAATCTTTATTTGTCTACTTGCTTATTGCCTTTCCTCCTGAGTAGGCTGTGAGTTTTTAGGAGACTGTCAGTTTCCTGACTCCTGGATCCTTGGTATCCTATGCAAGTTCTGGCATATATTAGATTCTCTATATTCTCATTAGAAAGGAGACAAGAAGGAATAAAGGGAGGAAAGGAGGAAGGGAAATACTCTTTAACTTGTCCTTTTTTTATTACAAGCTTAGGGGAAAACATAGAGCAATTTATTGAAATCTGACTTTCAGTTTTCCCCTCATTCCAATTTTGTTGGTATTTTTGGTATATCTCTAAAATTTAACCATGAGAGTATTGAACTTTGACCCATACATTTGCAATTAAAAAGTTATAGATCACCTTATGCTGTGGCTCTTAAACTTTATTCATAAGCAGTAACAACTTTTCTTTCAAGTGAAATCTCATATGGAATCCTCATATATGGAAGCGATCAAAGTTCTGCCCTGGGGCTCTGATGAACCAGTTAAAAACACTAACGTGGTCCAACCCCTCAGTTTGCCTAAAGAGGTAAATGACTTGACCAAGATCAAATGCCCAATCAGAGCCCTAGCTGGGATTAGGGCACAGGCTTCCCCCACATCAGTGCCCTTTCTACAGAACCATTTCACTGGGGTGTGAATGTGGTGCCTGAGGACTGATTCACAGGGAACAGTATCGCCCACCTTTGGACTTCTGTGACATAAATAATAATAGCTAGTGTTTATTTCATCTTCCCATGTTCTTGGCCTACGTCTGCACTTGAATTCTCACAATAGCCTATGGGATGTGTATATTATTATTGTCCCATCTTCCACATGGTCACTCTGGGACTTACAGCAAATCAGTGGTGTGCCGAGCCATTATACCTCTATCAGAGATGGAGACACCAAGATGCATTTGTGCAACTGGAAGTAAAACGGCATTTTAACAGCAGGGAAAGATAGTCTGACTGATGTATTATTCTAGAAAACCAAACCATACAAAAGTAAATGCAGGAGTTCTATCTGGCCCTTGAGTCAGAGGTTCCTGGCCCCGTTTTATTCAGTAGGAGTTTGTGTCACAGCCAGTTTCTGCTCAGCCAGAATGTCTCAAGTGCATGAATGCCACCTTCAAGTGAACAGCCCGGTTTCCAGCACAGCCAGCCAGCAGGAAGAGCATTGCGTTCAGATCTCTAACATCCCACTGGATGGGAAATGGTCAGCTCTTCACAACTCCTCCTGGGCTATAACACACTTGCTGAATATCAATTACCATGGGCATGGTGCCCTTAACACTTACTAAAATGTGTTTTCCTGGAGCTTGTGTGAAATGTGAAAATGGGAAGTTAAGATTTCAGAACTTATTTGAGAAAACTACTAAACTGACCTTTTGAAAATGAACCATACTTTGCTCAAAGAATAGTTGTCAATTTGTTTTTGACATTTGTTCCTTTACAGTTATGACTTTTAAATTATTCATGCTTACCAGCTCCAAAATGGAATAGTAATAACTCTCTCTTCAGGCCTGTAGCCCTCTCTTATAGTTTACATAGATTTTGAGTAAGAAAGGCATTCGGAAGGAGTTTGGGAGTTGCCTGAGTCTTATAAAAATAATATTCGTATACCTTTTTTATGGCAAAGCCACACAGAATATTCCCATATGGACACTGATTAATCTCCCATGAGGTATAAATAGGTAACTGATGCTTATTTTATAGATGTAATATCCAAATTGCTAGTAAAGAGTTTACAGAAATTTTATGGCTTCTCACAGCTAACCAGAGAGAAGGGTATCTGGCTGACTACTCTTCTCCAACAGAAAAATTCTTTCACTGTTCTCCTATTAACTGCCACATAGTTCTTTGACACTGACCTAATACCCTGAGTCTAAAAGTTGCTGAACAACTATGGTACCCCCAGTGCCTAGGAACTAGGAGAATGATTTGATCTATTCTTTTGATCTTTTTTGTACCTTGAAGATTTATTTCAGATACAAAGGAGACCTTCCCGAAAAGAGCAATATTGGTTATATGAAAATAATAAGCCACCATTAATAAAGCACCATTGTGTACCCAGCACTGTACGGAATTTTTCTGTGCATTACTTTAAACCTCCTCCCAATACTGCCTAGTGTGGGGTTATATTATGTTCCCACTTTACAGATGAAGTAATGGGCTAGCCTGGGTCACAGACCCTGAGTGTGGATCAGGACAGTGTCTCAGACCTGTCTGACCAGGGTCCACACCCTTAAATCCCACACTGCAATATGACCACAGAATCCCTATTTAGGATAAGAACTACATGACCGAAATGTCCACTGTAATATTTTTAATTTAGGAAGTTGTCTGTTCTTGAAGCTTTCTGGATAAAGTAGTATTTAGCTTGGTACTCTTCTTAGACCCAGCACTCCCACCTCAACTCTCAGATTATAAAATGATTCATCTAACATTCTTGAATGCAGAGCCCCCGCCCCTTCCCCTGTAAGTAGGGTGACATTTTCTCTTGCATCACTATCAGGGTCCTGGGGGAGTCTTCTCTGAAAGAAGTGATTAGAGATGGGGGATATCAGCGCCTCACTAGTATCAAGAGATGCCTTCTTTTCAGG